TTTGATAATTTATTGTTTGCTGTTTTGATTTGTCTTCGTGCTGTATCTGGGATTTCTGTATTTACCAGTATCAAATATGTAATGGAATCTATGTTATAGCGATTCTTCGCTTTCCTAATAACTCTGTCAGGTGCACATCATGCACTTTAAAATAGCCATGGGTATATGACCATCTAAATCATCTTATATTTATGCATTTAGTTATTTATGTATATAGCAGATGCCATTAAAAGGGTAACATGTTTGAAGAATAAATAGAGTGAGGTAACAAATGGGTTTCACTTTGTGTGCTTTTTTGCTTTTTCAGCAATATTGAAGAGGTTATTGCTAAGTTTGCACAATTAACACCACAAGAAAGGGCAAAAAGGTGTTCTCTCTGAAACTTTAACTTCTTTCATGTAATAGTCTGTACATGTTCGAATGCCTTTGTAGCTAAGTGATTTTTGTTGGTCTGCAACAGGAAGCTGGAGAGCCTCGAAGTAAGACTCCTTGCAACTTATATTCTTGAATATGTTCTGCTTCTTTCCTCGCCAAGCGAAGAGTAAAGCGTTATCACTCTCTCATTATGCTAATTTTTGGTCTTCTTATTGAGAATATAGGCATTGAAGAAAACCTTCAAGAAATTGGATCATGATGTAAACATACTGGACTTTATAGGTGCAACGTATGTGACTCTTATTTCATTTTCTTCCAGATAGTATGTTCATGTTTAAGTAAAACAATGGGAAGAACCTAAATTCTTTTTTATTGCCCCTTGCAGCAGTCAATCTGTTGAGGTATGAAATTTTCTGGTATTACCTGTGTCCATTTTGATCTTAGATTTTCAAGTTATTGTTAACTTTGTTATGTTTCTGGGAAATTGCTATTTTCAGGAAATGACTAATGAGGTATCAATGTTGCAAGCTCAACTTACTGAAGTACATAAGAGACTGAGGTGCACCTTTGGAGCTTTTGGTTGTTAAAGTATTGCTTTTTCTTTTTTGGTATTGTTTGTAAAATGTCAGCGTGAGATGAGAATAACATACTATTTTTAATTATCGTGTTATAGAAAGTTATATTGGTATTTCATTTCATAAGTAGCTTCCTCCTATCTTTTCCTTCCCCAAATTTTGGACCAGAGGTATAATGGTCAGAACCTTAGAGGCTCTCGTAGTTTTAAACTCTGAGTGCAAGACAGGTAACCTTTGTCCATCATAGCATCCTTTATACAAAGCTTTAGGCCCTGATGAACTACTTTTCTGAGTTGGGTGTTTTAAGTTAATGTTTTTCCTAGGACAGAGAATACAAGATGCATTGTCAATCCATTATGAAAGTTTCAACGTGAATGCTATGTTAGGATTTAAGTGGCAAGCTTATTGTCAATTTGAATGGAAGTAAGATGTTGTGGGAGTGAACTAGATTCATATGTTTATTATTGCTATATATTATCTTGGGGATATTATAATGTGAAAATTATAATCTAAAGAATTTCCTTGTGCATGTAAGGCTAGATCATCCAGAAACAGAACCAGCCAGATTTAAAACTTTGATTTAATCATGTCTGTTTGAAAAATAATAGTGCGTCTGCTTCTGAAAATCTCATTCAGCACTAAGTTTTTTTCACACTCAACCCTTTGTAACTGCTGTCAAACGATAGCTAGCCTCTATCTTGTGGATGAGAGTGATATATGTTGATTTTAGTTGTATCTATCTCCTTTATTTTGGCATTGTCTTCTGAACTGTTTGTGTTTACCTACTATGTTTGGACAGAGTCACACGTGCATTAACAAAATTACATATAATGTAACAGTGAGAACATGATATATTAGCTCTTATGAAGTGATTCTTATATTATCATGCAATGATTTCAGCTACTGGAGTAATCCGGATAAAATTGACAATATAGAACATCTTAGGCAGATGGAAGATATACTACGAGAATCAATTGAGCGTATCCGGATACACAAGGTATAGTGTGTGTTCTATTAATAGTGACCTCTATGCACTGCTTTTGTACATTGTCTTTCGAGTCAGAAGCACACAAACAAATATATACACTTACTGACATGCATAAATATATAAAATATAACCAAGTCATTGCATGTATTTAACTGCATTAAAGTTTACCTATAACGGACTCCTGATGAAAACTATGGTTGGTTAGCCTCTTGATCGAGACTGATAAAGAATGCTAATGACTTACTACTTCAATAGAACCTGAGCCATAGTTACCTGTGAATTACTTATGCCTGCTACTTTCTTGGCAGGAAAATTTTGGAAAGCACCATCTTATGTCACTAGAATGCACAAGCCAGGTAGCAAAAGTATTTCTCTCTCTCTCCCCCTTGTTTAAGAGAAATGTCTTATGACTTTGGCTTACAGTTTCAGAATGGGATACCTTTGCCTATGATGATTGGTGGGGTGCAAGAAGCACAGCCTGTTACGTGGCTTCCAAACAATGACAATCAACACATGTTATTGCATAATGAACCTAGCTTTCTATCTCATCGGTGAGACTATTATGGACATATACCTTCAAATTCAACTCCCGTTAGTCTGCTGGGATATTCAACTTAATGAAGATAAATTTTTACTTGAAAATAACCTTGAGTCTCATGGCCTAGCTGCAGACAGATGGTTGTTTTTATCTCAAATGTTTTATTGCAGAAGTAGCAAATTGAATGCCATTTTGTTTTTTATTTCAAATGTTTTGTTGCACAACCTTTTACGTGGCTTCCAAACAGTGACAATCAACACATGTTATTGCATAATGAACCAAGCTTTCTACCTCATTGGTCAGACTATTGTGGACATATACCTTCAAATTCAATTCCCATTAGTCTGCTGGGATATTCAACTTTTCAAAGATAAATTTCTGCTTGAAAATAACCTTGAGTCTCATGGCCGGCCAGAAGACACATGGTTGTTTTTATCTCAAATGTTTTATTGCAGAAGTAGCATATAAATGCCATTTTGTTTTTATCTCAAATGTTTTATTGCATAGCCTGTTACATGGCTTTCAAACAATGACAATCAACAGATGTTATTGCATAATGAACCAAGCTTTCTACCTCATCGGTGAAACTATTCTCATGGCTTACTGGCAGACACTTGGTTGTTTTTATCTCAAATGTTTTATTGCAGAAGTAGCATATAAATGCCATTTTGTTTGTTTCGGTGTTCCTCATTACCATCGGCTGACTAGTTTCTTTTGCTCCAGAGATGCAGAGTGTTCTGCAGATGGCTCCTTTGCAGGCTATTCTGGTTTCTTTGGGTCTGGTAAACAAATAGAGATCGGCAGTTCAGGGCAAGTTGATAATGTGGTACAGGAAAGTAGTGCCCTGAATGAATTAGGGAGTAATGCTTGCTTAAGTTTGCAACTTGGTGAGCAATATTTGTACCCGCCATATAGTGCTTCAAACTTGCAAGATGATGAGAAGTTGAAGCCAGAGATGGAGGTGAACTTACCAGGAAATCCTGCTGGTTACCAAGTTGTAAGCAACTTTGAAATCCCTAGACCTATGTATAACAGTGGGCCTCAAGCTCGGATATCTTCTTCTGGCCCTTGTGGCATTATGATGTTTGATGGGAATTCTTACCATCAGGTGAGGATTTTCTTTTTTCTTGTTCTACCGTTAGCTCCTTGGGATATAAGTTAGTGAATATTTTTATATTCTGTGCATCTAGTGGTGCCCACTGAAACTGTTTAATAGTGCTGCAATTGGTAGATGATGAATAATATCTACTTGTCCAACAACTTTGATGTCTTTGCTTCACTTCCTATGGTTTAGTTTTTGGCTTAGATTGTAATGCGCATACCTGCCAACAGTGCCATCAGCCAGTAATTATCTGCCCTTTTCAATTATAGAATTACCATTGGATTATCTTGTATGTTGGACAACCAAAATTTTGAACCTCAGTCTACATTGCTTTAATTGTACACCTAAATTCATCTACACATTCTAAATGTTTATGCAGCCTCTAAATTCTGAAATGTTCATAAGTTACAAGCTAATGTGTTGATATATATGAGCTATTGTGAGGTGGTAAGCTAAGACTACAGCAGATGTTGCATTAATTTTTATTTTTATTGCAAAATAACAAAGAACTGGTTGTCATTGCCGTCTAGCTAGACTTTTGGTTCCTCATGAGATGACTAACACCTTTTAGTGAACAGTTGCCTCAAGTCCAATTAGGTTCTCCTGTCACATTGGCTGAATCTTGCTGTATGAAATTCACTGTTGGATTCCCTTCAATACAATTATCATATTTATTTAATGACAAGAAGGATGAAATTAATGTCACCAGTAAATCATGCTCTTATCTAGCTTCTGTGGCATCAAGTAGCATACACACAACCTTGTGTGACTAACTCGAGTTTTTGTTCTCACCTATGCTACTTTGAATCTATTGTGTTCAAGGGATTGAATCCGCTTGCAAATTTGTTGATTCTGATCATTGTTTATTACAGCAAACTAAATCGACTTTCATGAATCAGACGCCTCCATCTGGAGAATTGCATAATTTGTAGCTGGACTCACAGATGTGCATTAGAATCTGATCATTTCGTGGCTTGTGGGCATTTGTTGTGATAGAATTGCTCCAATAATGGAATTAATAGGTGAAGCATGCAGCAGATGAAGCATGCAGCAGATGAAGCATGAAGCACGGCCCAAGAGATGGACTAATTATCATCCGGTCGTTTTATGCTGCTGAACATGTTTCTTGTATATTTAGTGTAACTGTGTAAGTCATACAGGATTACTGACTTCTGTATATAAACCTTTCTTCTTCCTGTTTTTTTGTTTTCCTTTTTTTGTCTAGACACAATTCTCAAGGGGATGGTTTCAAAAACATTTCCCAATCCCCCAAGGTGTACATTACACTCTTGTAGAAAATGAACATGACATTTTACTATAATTAGTTTCCGTTTAAATCGATTGTCATCTGAGATCGATTTTATGTTGTTTGTATCTACTAGTCTAATTCTTTTAACAAGTGATGTCTTCTCTAATTGTGAATGAAGTTTAATATTAATAATCATATAGATGCAATCTGAAGTTCCCCTGTACATCGATGGTTCCTTGTTTACATGGAATATCCTTAGGTCTTACTCAAAAAGCATTAACATGAGTTTACAAAACAAAGGAACATGATCTACAACGTAACTTCAAATTTGATTTAGTAACCCCTGATCGTGTTGATGATGGTGTTGTGCCATGGGTCTGACAGGTGCTGCAACAGGTTTTCAAAAGGTCCTTTGCCAGTAACATTGTATTGAACCACAAATCCCAAGAATGCTAACATTGCCAATCTCCCTGCATATTCAAACAGCACAAGCTTAGCCCACTTGATATACAAATATTTCACAACAAAATAACCAGACTTGTGGGATACATACCATTGGCAAGCTCCTTTTCCTTGGCCTCAACGGTAGGTGCCAGGTTGAGGGGATTGAAAACGCTACCAGGGTACCCACATTCATGTGGAGGCAAGCTGTATTGCTTGAAGATGGGGTCTTGGTTCACACACCCTGGGTTCTTTATGTCTTGCCACCTTCTGATCTCCACATAGTGGAATAAAATGAACTCAATAACGAAGAGGGTTGATGAGGATGCAAAGTATTCTGCTTTCCCAGCATCATACCATTGAGGAGCATTGATTATCCCAATCTTAGTGAAAACTTCAGGCAAGATCATCCCTGCAACACCCAACATAGCCCAACGCGAGTTCACAAGCTCGGCTTGCACATACCATTTCAAGTTTTCAGGGTCCTCAGCAAGTCCAAGAGGATCAAAACCATTGTCACCTGGAAGACTGCAAGTCTATACAGGCTTAGTTCATAATCGTATACTCAAAGTCATTCGAGCTCTACCTTTAGTAGTAATAGGAGTATTCCTTTCAAAATGCCAACAGTGTATAATTAAATGATTTTATCCAGATAAGAAGAATATACCTGCCATTGAGGTAAGCTGGTGAAGGCAGACCTGGCAACCACTCCCCTTTCTTGGCTTGAACTTTGAATGAGCTAGGTGTTGTAGAAGCCGTTGGTTTAACGCAAACTTCTCTGTTTAACTTACCAGAAGACCCAGTAAGAAACCTTGTCTTGGATGCACGTGGGCGGAAAACGGCAGCTGACGCCTGTGTTGAGACGGTAGCCATGATTTCCGGCGGAAATATGGGTCAGGAGTAAGGGGAGCAGGGGCAGTAGTAGCAGTGTGTAAGCTGGGGAACGCAAAGGTTTTTGTGCATGGATTAGCTTTGTATCTCCATTTCATGGGCATTCATGTGGTTGTCGTAAAACGTTGGAAACTGATGGTTGGTTTGTTGGATTTTGTGGATCCAACGGTTGAGGTGAATCAAGGCTTATCCCTTTATCCAGGTGCCATATCCACAAATCTGTATCTTTGTTGCCGTTGGTGGAGAAAAGATCATCTGTGACCCATCTTTTGGCTGACATGGGAAGATTTTTCTGCTACGTGGGAGCTTTTACCACCAATAGTTGCATGACATTTGGCTGTCTGGGTTACACCTTGGCAAAAGATATCCACACGGAACTGGGACAAATCAGATGAATCCAGGCAGGATTCCCCCTAATCGGGACAAAGTAAACTGCTGCTAACATTAGAATCGCATTGCCATCCATTCAGGGTAGATTTTTGGTGCTAGATTGATAGATATGACACAATTTTTGCCTTTCAGCATTACTCTCATAAATTAATTACTCAAGTGTATTTAATAAACCATTGGGTCTCAACCCCCAATTGAAAAATCTTACGAGTGTTACGGAGTGAAAGCCCAAGTCAAGGGCTTGTCATATCTCCTCACCTCATCTATAGATTCTTTTTGTTTTCATCGTCACCACAAACATGAATCAGGAAGATGCAAAAATCGAAATAATGATTAAAATTGGGTTGTCCCCCTCATGAATCAGGATAATCCCAACAAAAAAATTTAAGCAGAGTAGCAGACAGCGAAATGCTCCCCTCTGCCAAGCCACAATTGTAGCAATACAACTGATTCCTCAGGGCAGCCAAAGCTATCGCCCTGCAACCGCAGCTGCCTCCAATTCTTCATCTGTCAAGAACCTGGTTGAGGGATAGAATTCTGTGTCGGAGCCAGTTTCAATCGCTTCCAATGGATAAGACCTCAGTGAAAACTGGGTTCCAGTTGCCTCCACAGTTTTATTAATGAAAGTTGATCTTGTCATGTAATCCTTCATACAGCATATGAAGTCCAAATGGCCCCTTGCCTAAACAAAAAAACAGACAGGCATGTTTATGTCTATCCCAAATGGCACATGCGCTGTGTGGTAAAGATTGAGAATATTTGTCAAGTAGTGTTCTCTTTAAAGTGAAATAAAAAAAATCATTTGCAATAGAAGTTAAAAGATTGTGGGAGAGTAGGGAAAAAAAGGTAGGAGAGAAGACAGAAAAGACAGTTTTTAACATACAAATTTGTGAACTGAGAGTGTATGAAAAACAGTAGGAGAAATCTCACTGAGTTAAATAAGAATTCAACTCACGTAAATAGTTTTAGAAGAGAGACTGAATTGCGTGACACCAACTCGTCCTCGGACTTATATATCCATATGGATAGAAAATAAATATCATATTGCAACATATAGCAAACGATGAAGCATCTGGTCAATTGATACAGGCAAGAGAAAGAAGACACACCAGCATCTACAAGCCAAGGCAAGCTATCAACAACCAACATATAATTTTAGAAAGTACTGCAGTTCAGGGATATCAAGCATATTCAATAAGATGGAATACATCTGCTGCCTTTAATGACATATCAAGTTTTATTTACATATTACTTGTTTCCTAAAACGATTCTCCCTAGGAGTAAAAGTACATTTTTCAACAGTCTCATCAAGACTGAGCTACACCAAGCCTAGGTAACAAGGCAATTCTTGTGGACTATCTCTTCAGACAAAGCTTGAATTAAGTACACAAACAAACAAGAAAAGATAAGTTGAAGAACTGACAGCTTACCGATCGATATTCAGGAGCTCGTTTAGGAAGTTTCAGGTAAGTCATGTTCCTGACCTCGAAGTCCCATAAAAATGACGTGTGATGGATCCACCTACTCTTGGTAATGGATTGGGCATTTCCACCAAACTTGTGGTTACCAAATACATAATCTAAAACAAGACAGCTGAAAGTTTACCATTAAAGAATGCAAACTTGCTCAGCAAAAATTTCTTGTCAGTGACGCAAGTCTAAGAGAAGTCCCAAAACAAGAGTGAGATATAAGTCATACACCTCAGCATAGATGCAGAATTGAATGCAATTAGTTAGATATTCCACAAGTGATAGAAGCCATAACAGCTGACTTTAATGTGCTACTATTTTCAGATTATGAACTATGGCAGAACTAGATATCATCAATTTACCATTCCACATGGTTAAGAATTTAGGTCAGCCTTTTTAATCTACTTTCTAATGTGAAATGCAGTTCTTCACGGCATCTTCACCAAAAACACTTCTCTCATTTTCTTCATGTAATTAACGGAAGAAACAAAAGAAGGTAACAGATTGCAACAAGATAGCTCAACACATTTCACTTATCCCTCTTCACCTATAGATGCATTCATTAAGAGGGAATGCTGGGATTACTACATGATAAGACATTCCTGATATTTGTTTTAAGTAGCACAGATATTATCCAGTGAATAAACAAAGGCTACTTTGGGTATCAATTCTAAAGTGATATTTTCTAGTCTAAAACCTACGACCAACATTTTGGTTATCATCATTGGATTAAAATTGAACAAAGTGATAAGCATATACTGGCTCTAGAATCTTGGTTCCGGATTAAATTGACTAAATCATCTTAAAGTTATTGCATCTAGAAAAGAGCATCTTATCAGGCATTAAACATATAAATTAGACAAGTGTGAAAATAGAGCATTTTATATGAATAAGCCATGATCTAATTTACCATTTTCACGAAGATGGAAATCACCAATTCCTTGAAAGACTTTGCCGTATAATAAGCTGCTCCAAGACATGATTGGTCGAGGATATGGCTGTAAGTCAGGCACTGCTTCTTTGCTGCATATGAAAGTGACAAATATTGTCCCACAGTCAACAATAACAGTACCTCCACCTGTAAACCTTCTTATGACAGGAACCTGATCGCGTAACACGGATTCAACTTCAAGAAGTTCAGCAGGTTTCCTATGCAGAATATTCATGTAGCCTTATGAATCACTTATGCCCAATATAAGCAGAAGAAATTAAAGCCCAAGAGAGTGTACAATGTCAGATAAATTTGAGAAAGCCAGATATAGTTTAACCAAGATATGCTCTTCTTGGCCCTATCACATTAAAAGAGAATAGCCAATTGGATAACAATTAAAGTTAATGGCATAAATCAGAAACTGCTCAATTGACTAGCTACTTTATTTTTTGTGGATATTAGAAATAAATATGCCACTTGATCAAGCCCAGCTTTCTTAAAGCGTCTGCACTTTGCTAATTGCTTACATTTGAGAATACATAAAAAGTATAAAATGTTAACCACCCAAGTTTCATAGGTAGAAAACTGAAGTAAATTTCTCAAATTTCTATAACAAGATGGATGCTACTATATGATATTTAGATGTCCATTGATATTACATTCACTCCATGTAGCTTGCTCAGAACCTGGAAGGTTACAGTATATTAGTTCTTCACTCAAGTGAGTCTTACTGTTTGTTGTTATTGCTAGTTCAAAGCTGGAAAGGTACCACTTAACATCTAACATAAGTTGACCATTCAACAAAGTAAAGCAGTAAGCTGAATCAACGTTAACATATTAGGAGGCACAAATTAAAGAAAGAAAAATGCAGGTTAATAACTGATTAATACAAACAAAACAAGAACCTTACCCCGAAACGCCCATTACAATGGTAGGATCACTAGTTCCATCATTGATGATACACCAATTCTCTGATGAGGTCCGAAGCAGTTGCTCCTCTATATGTAGTTGCTGCAAAATAGGCAATCCTTTGAATCTCAAAAGATTCATCATTGGAAGGCCAACATTTCTAGTCTGAGGGATAAGCATTTAGAAGCAGAAGTTGAGTTGGAGGCCCGGTTTTCCAATGTGGTACAGGAGGCTTAGTTCTCCTGCAAGAAACAGACACAATAAGGATTCTATGATTACCTATTTCCCCAACTTGATAAACAATGTTTTTATGATACAATTCTTTTTCTTTCTATAAATACTAAAATAAAGCATAAAGCAAAGGAAAGAACAAGTGGGAAACTTTACATTAATGAGAAAATGGATTCATTGTTGCTTATAAAACAAAATTTTATGAAATGGAGTCACACTTGTTATCTTTAAAAACGCATTTTGCTAACCAGTTAAGACAATTTTATTTTCATTACTCTCTCACTCAAATACTGAAAAAAAAAACAACAACTTTAACAGGAAATTACAAAGAACCCATTAACAAGATTATTTGTACCATGAAGGGAAAAAACCCAAAGAATTTTTGCTTTCTCAAAATTGGGTTTGAAGCAGTACCTTTCAAATTTCAAGAGGCGTCTTCTGCTGACACAGCAGCTCCAACTATTCGGAAAACGACAGCTTGAAGCCTGAAGAAGAAAGAAAAACCTAAAGAATCAAGAGAATTCGCAATTGTGAAGATCAGACAGAACAAATAAAAACAATCTTCGGCCCGGTCTGGTTCATGGAAAACACCAGAGAAAAGAAAATAAAATTCTTGAATTGTACTTTCTTGTATTTGGTGAGGTTGGAAAAATTGGAGGAAAATTATGATTTAAGGAAATATATGGAGAATAATTAAGAAAGACTACTACATCCCTTCCTTCAAAAAAATTGATGAAAATTAGAGAAAAACTTTCGGGCTTCCACCTGCGAAGACATTGACTTCAACCATATAATCACCCACCGTAAGAGGAGATGGAAAGAGAGAAGGCACCAGAGAGAAGAGGAAGAAAAAGAATGAAAAAGGGAACCCGCCACTGCTACCCTCGTCGGCGATGGCAACGGCGACCAGACTAGAGATACCAGTGAGATGCCTAGAAGCAGAGTTGCCTGAGTGAGAAGAGAAAGATCTGAAACAAAACAGAGAAAACTAGAAGACAAGCTGGAAGAGCTAAACTATGCTGTTTAAGAAGAGGGGGAAATTTTAAAATAAAAAAATGTAAAAAGCAAGAGGATTTGAGGTGGGGTACGAAAATTAAGAGGCCATTTAATCTGACAATTTGTATATTTATGTCTTAATTCTGTTATGTAAATATAAAATATTAATAATTTTATGAATAAATATGAATATGATATAATTAATTAATTATTTAAAAATTTTAAATGTATTTCCAAATATTCTTAATAAATATGTAATATAACAAGATTAATATATTTATTAAACATATCGAATTAAATTTTATACGATATGACATGGTTAATATAGTAAAAATTTATACGATATGACATGGTTAATATATTATTGATATGATAAATACATGATTTATACTATTAAAATAATTAAATTAAAATATATACAAGTGAAATATGATTCTATTATTTAAATTTATAATAAAAAATTATAAATACCTTAATATATACTAAATAAAATAAAATTTAATATCAATAAATTTTAATTATCATAAATATATTAATATTTAAATAGATCAACAAATAAATCTTAACTATATACTAAACGTGTCTACACGACACGTGAATATAATTTAATAAATAAATACACGATAAGGTGATTAATTAATCGTATTTTACATGTTTTAAACGTGTTAAGTGAGTTTGACATGTTTAAGACAATAATAATTCATGTCTTAATTGTGACGATACTATTAATACACAAAACATGATTAATCTAAACTCAAACTCGCTTAAATCTTATTGTCTTCGTGTGGTGTTGTTATATTTTGTATAAAATTATCAAGTCTAAGGCAAAGGCCAAACATAGACCAAATATACTGTAGCTTTACTTTTTCTTTTCTTTTAACAGGTTTAACATTGCAATAATAAATTTTTATTTCTTATTTTCTTTATACATTTTACAATTACCAAAATGTATAAAAAAATATTTTTCATGATATTTTCCTTATCATTGCGAATAAATTAGGAAATTTCATCTTTCTTTAATTTTCTTTTCTAATGGTTTCTTCCGCATTTTCCTTTTCTTTTTTTTTTTTTGAATAGCATAAGAATTTTATTAAAGATAAGAAGAAGCAGCAAAACAACACTTTACCAGACTTTCAAAAGCTTAAAAGAAGCCCTGCTCTCAAAACCAAAACTCATGAAGAAAAAAACAGCAGGCAACAGCAACCTGAAGGAACCTCAGAACAAAGGAAACAGAAAGCAAGAAGGCAAAAAAAAAAGGAAAAAAGAAAAAATCAATCACATTCAATAGAACACAAGTGGAAAAGAAGCCAACAGCACCTAAGCTCAAGGAGGACATCGACCAGAAGCAATAGGAGGACAGGCCATACTGTCATTAGAAGGGGGCAACCATTGAAAATCTAGATGAGATTGCTTGGTCTGTTAACAACAACTTTAGCAAAGCAGTCCGCCAATTTGTTTTCGTCACGAGGAGCATAGACCATAGACCAATTGACAAATCTTTTTTTGAAACAATTAATCTGGTTCAAGATGCTTCTCATACTCCACTTGACTGCATTCGTGGAGTCGGATTCAATAATAGTAAGGATCCAAGAAGAGGCCGCCGCAGAAAGGACAAAGGCTTCCGTAATGACCTTAATTTCTACCAAATTTGAATCACCAACACCCAAAGACTTTGAAAAGATGATTCTAACATTACCATTGCAATCTCTCAAAACAACCCCATTCTCGAATCACCAAGGCAACCCCTAGCAACACCATCATGTTATTCTGATACAGCCATAAAGTCCAAAGGACGGCATAGAATGCCATACGCCAAACCGAGAAAAAACCACTTCTAAGAAAAATATTATTCCATTCAATAAAAAGGTCCTTCAAATTATTTGAAGGAACCCAATAAAACCTCCAAGCTTTCAACCAGTAAGTCCAAATCCTCCAAGCCACTGTAAAATTGAGGAAGAGATTATTAATAGGCTCAACTTCATTATTACAAATGACACGGATGGTAGCCCCACTTTTTCTCAAAAGTTCACCATTAACAACAATTTTGCCCTTCATAAAAAGCCAACAGAAACCTCCACTGTAGGAGGAGCAAGATTAAACCAAACCATCCTCCAAAACAATTTATCTCTAGAAAGATTTCCCATAGTAGAAATGAGAAAGTATTTGGCAAAATAGGAACCACTTGGGTTACCTTTCCATATAAGTTTGTCAGAGATGTCAAGATCAAGCGAAAAATTACCAATAACATCCATGAGACCTTGCCATTGATCATTTTCCTAATTAAACAGTGGTCTTTGAAGATCAGCATTCCATCTCCAAGTATTGTCAATCCAGTAGCCAAAATCAGAGAGGGTTCCATTCTTTTTAATCAAAAAAGCGTAAATGCAAGGGAAATCAGCTGCCATTTATCCAATCATCAATCTAGAATTTGATTTGATCACCCTATCCAAAGATGAAGTCAATTCCATTTTTGTTAATGTCAACAAGCCAATCATTAGAACAAAGAAGGCTTACAATATTCCATCACAGTTTAGACTATTTCTAGAGGCCAAACAAATAGGGAAAAAGGAACTAAGATCCATATTATTTTTTTCAACAATAACTTTCTTTCAAAGGCATCAGAGTCCTCCTCAAAGCGTCAGATCCATTTGTTGAGAAGGGAAAAATTTTTCAGATTGAGATCCATAATTCCAAGTCCACTTTTGTCTTTCGGGTTGCAAACAGTGTTCCAATCCACTAAATGGATTTTCTCGCTATCGGTAGCACTGCACTAAAGAAACCTCCGCTGTAATTTATCGAGCTTAGCCTTAATGCCAGCAGGGATCTTAAAGATAAACATATAAAACAGTGGGAGGCTAGAGCGAACATATTCCAAAAGGGTAATCCTACCTCCAGAAAAAAGAAGGTTAGGTTTCCAGTTAGAAAGGCGAAATTCAAATCTGTTAACCATTAGCCTACACAAAGAACTGAAACTCAAATTAACCCCAAGAGGAAAACCCTGATAAGTAATAGGCACAGAACCAATATTACAGGAAATCTTCAAGGCCCAACTAGCGAGAATACAATCATCACTCCCAATTCCGAATATATTGCTTTTCCCAAAATTATTCTTTAAACTTGAAATAAGCTGGAAGCATCGAAAAATCCTTTTCAAAGATAAGATGGAATCCAAATTAGGTGAACTTTTGAAGTCAACTTTGAGGAAGACGCCTTCGGAATTATCTTTCTTAAGGTGACCAACAAGTTCATTAGCCACAAAAACACAATCCAAGATTTTCCTGCCTTTAGTAAAGTAAATTGGTTCGGAGTAACAATAGAGCCAACAACCATACATAATTTGTTGGCATGGACTTTAGTGATCAACTTATACAGGCATCCAACGAGACTAATCAGCTTGTAGTCATTAAGCCCAACCGAGTTCTGTTGTTTCAAGATTAACGAAATAAACGAAGCATTGATTTTTTTGTCAGAGCAGCCAATATCAAAGAATCTAATAAAATGATCAAAGATGTCGAATTTGGCCTTGGGCCACTGGCTTTTAAGGCAACTTATGTTAAAGGCGTCAGGGCTTAAGGCTATATTTTCGACTCAATCTTTAAGAGTCTCCCAAATTTCAAATTCACAGAAAGGTCTTTCAAGCCAAGCTGATAATTGAGGCTTAGGAAACTTAAGAGGGTAATTAAAATCGACTACCCTGAAGTGATGCTCAAAGTGGTTAGTAGCAACTTCGATAATGGACTTCGAATCAGATAACTCCACCCCTTGAGAGGAAATTTTCTCAATAAAATTTTGTCTTCTTCTGTTAGAAGTGGTAGTATAAAAGAGTATGATGTTGCGATCTCCGTCCAAAAACCATTTGACACTAGATTTTTGGTGCCAACATCTCTCCTTGGCATTGTAAAGCTTCCGCAAATCAACTTTCGAATTGAAAATATCCAAGGAAAGAATAGATTTCTTCCACGTTTTCCTTTACCTCTTATTTTATGATTAAATCTAAGTCTAAGCATTTTTAAAATTATAATAACCAAACAAATCATTTTTTTCTTGATTACTATATATCAAAAGTTTAGAGATTTCATGGTGCACCATGTAATGGGTGTTGTTCTCTATTTGTGAGACTTTAGTAGCTCTGTTGCGTTTTTTATTTTGTTTTCCTGGTTCCACTTTGCTGTGGTTTTTTATTTTGTTGGGGTTTAGTTTTGCTGGCTGTTGGGAAAGGGCTCTTGTTGTTGCCTTGAGATTTGATGGGAAGTCTTCTTGCAAACTGAGAAGTGATCTTGAGTTTTTATTTGTTGATCATATTTGGATTTTTTGGGTTCTTGTTTTTACCATGGCTAGTAGCACTTTGTATTTTTTTTTTAATTAGGAACTCACAAAAGCTTTTCGAAAAGAAAAAAATGTTTTAAGTTTTTTTTATCAAATATTGAATTTTATTAAATTTTAAGTTTTTTTCTTCTTAATTTGTCTAATATTAAATTTTATTAAATATTATTGTGAATTTTATTATGTTTTGGAAGGAAACATGAATAGATTTTTTTTAAGAAGGTATTTGCATCTTAAAATATTTATGTAGTATTGGGTATAATTTTTTTTTTAATTGTTAACTAACGGCATTAATAGTCAAAAGATCAAAAACATCATTTTGAAGTATAACCGATCAAAGTGTCATTTTGAAACGTTTTGAGAAAATTTTTTAAAGTTTACTCAAAATTTTAAAGTGCTCATAGATTGAGCTGGACTAATTAAGCTTGATTGACACCTTGACAGTCCAAGTTTGAGTTAAAATAATCTTATTTTAATATTTTTAAAAATAATTTATCATTAAAATTAATATTATTTATTAATATGATAATATTCTCACGTCGAAGTTGAATCTAAAAAATTATGTTCAAGACCAGACTTAAATGGAGTCAGGCCCACGAGCTTAGTAAGTAACAAAGTAAAAGAAGAAACAAATCAAGAAAGAAAGAAGGAAAAAGTAAGAGAAGCAAGGTAGGCTAAATGCCCAAGTCTAAATGGGTAATGGTGTTCAACTGGTCACCTTTATTAACATATATTCTTAAATGCACAATTCTTATGAAATATAATGCA